AGAGAAGGGATGACAGTGAGAGTGGATTGAGAGAAGGGATGACAGTGAGAGTGGATTGAGAGAAGGGATGACAGTGAGAGTGGATTGAGAGAAGGGATGACAGTGGGAGTGGATTGAGAGAAAAGCAGGTTTAAACATCGGAGGAATGAGAGAATGGCTAAAGAGATGGAAAGAGAGATGGGCGTATATATTATGATAGATGGAGGAATGCATGTCTACAGCGACACACATACACACATAGATACATACGCACACGTACACACATACACGCACAAACTCCACGAATACTCACCCACCCATACACACACTCACGCACACACACATACAAAGATACACACGCATATACACACACAAATATACACACACACACGCACACACATACAGACCCCACCTGTACTCACCCACACACACTCATACACACACACACACACACACACACACACACACACACAAACCCTACCAGTACTCATCCCCACACACACACCCACACACCAGTCAGTACTCACCCATCACTCAGTAGCACTTGCTCCACGTCACCTCCGTACTCAGAGAAAGCCTTTTTGACCTGCAGGAGAGAGGAAAACATGAATCCATCTTTAAATCAATCAATCAATCAATATACATTTATTTCAAATAAAATGTATTAATCCTTGTGTGAAAATTGAGTTACAAGGGCAATCACACACAACTGAAGACCTTAGAACAAGAGTGTGCCTACGTCCAGAATTGCAACAACCAAAAATGAAGTTCTCGCTATCTATAAATAGAGGATACTTTCCCTCATCTATTGATAGAAACTAGTGCATATGGCATGGCACTCAGTGAGAAAAATGGTTTGGGGGGGGGGGGGAGAAAGGGGAAGGGGTGGACTGCAGTGAATCCCAATGCAAATTATTATATATTCTAGACCTAAGTCCATGTGTTTGGCTGGCTTTCTGTGTTCAGCTAAAATTAGAAACAGTCTTGTTCTCAGGTCTTCAATTAAGCACCACAACCGAATAATATTAGAATTTTACAGGACAAGTTTACAAACATATGTGAGGCAGCGTGGTGGAATCAGGCTCTCGTCAATTTTTGGGCATGCAGAGTTATTGGTATCATCTTAAAGCTTGTTCGCGTGTCTTTATTTGGATAAAAAAATATCCATTAATCTTAAATACAAGGCGAGCTATTTGCGAATGAAGGAGGTGAGGGGTATCTTGTTTTCAGAGGGAAAATTAGTGAGAAAATGGCCGGCATATATTTGTTTTTTCCTTAGCTTAAGAGTCCGTGCTAGCTGAAAATTTACATTTTAATCAACTTTATTCAGAAAAATCCGCACCGAAATGAGTTCTTTAATGGGCATGAAAGGTGTTCAGCCCAAAAACGAAAATTTGATAAAAATTCAGAAAAATGCGGAAAAATGCAAGTTTCTTCACTTTGATTATTTTGACGAGAGCCTGATTCCACCACGCTGCCTCACCTATCATTGCTGTTCGCCACAGTAAAGTCCCCTATTTTGTTTTGTTTTCCCTTGTTTTTGCTGTTTTGTAGCTAGTGTTGTCAGGTCTCGCCCACAGACTGCATGCAGACTCCTATTTGATGATTTTGCTGTTTTGTAGCTAGTGTTGTCAGGTCTCGCCCACAGACTGCATGCAGACTCCTATTTGATGATTTTGCTGTTTTGTAGCTAATGTTACCGTGTCTCGCCTAAAGACTGCAGCGCCCTATTTGCTGTTTTTGCTGTTGTATAGTTCACGTATTCGTGTTTTGCTCAAAGACACACCCCAGTGATCATCCATTGAACCCCTGTGTCACTGACACTTTGCTGTTGCAAAGAGAGCAAGCAGTCTTAAATAACTTTACTGCAGCTGCTATTTTTTCTGTTGTTGTTGCTGATGTTGTTGTTGTTGTTGATGTTGTTGTTGTGGCTGTTGTTATTGTTGCTGTAGTTGTTGTTGTTGATGTTGCTTTAGTGTGCATATTGTTGTCGTTGTGTTTGTTGTTTTTGTTGTTGTTACTTTGTTATTGTTGTTGTTGTTGTTTGTATATTGCGACCATGATGAAAATGATCATAAGGATTAAGTAGTTCAACTGTAGTAGCAGTAGTAACACCAACAACTATCATCATCGTCATCACCACCACAATCATCACTACCACAATCATCACCACCACAATCACCACCACAATCCCCACAACCACC